CTATGCTTTCACTTTATCCTTTCTGGAGTAGAACTTCTTGTGTGTCACCCTATTTTATCGTATGCCACTTACCCCACTTTAGTTTAGTCGATATACTAAGTTAGTAGATACATGAGGTTAACTATCACCTTCTTTACCATTGCTTCCTTGTGGATAAATACGATACCCTGGAATACTCCTAGGTGAAAGCTACAACGGTATCCGTGCGTTTGCAGATTTCTCTGTGTGCATTAATAGATACCAATAGGACGTAGGAGCGCGCGGCCGTCGTTTCACCGGGGGCACGGGAATGCTCGAGCGCGCGGTTGTCGCCGCCTGGGCACATCGCGTGATGGATGAAGCTTGAAGAGATAAGGTTACGTTGCGTGGCTGGGATGCGGTGGATAGATGGGGAGAGAATAGAAGGAAAAATTAAATAAGTGAAAAAAATAAGAAAAATAGAAGGGTATTTTAGACCACTAATTATCTATATTAGTCTTAATTTTCATGTTTATTCTTGGTTCATTATAAACATCATACAAATTTGTGATTTGATTTTAACATAATGTGATCTAAACCATATGTGGTAATTTTGTTAAAATTTTTGTTGCAATCATCCAAACAATAGCCACACAATTTTGCCACAGTTTAGTAATGAACCAAACAGTTGAATTTTGCCACAGAATGTGGCAAGCCACAATATGGCAAATAACTAACCTTAGGCGTGGCCGGCAACCAAATAGGCCCTAATTTGCATCAATTGAATGGTGTATGTATGGAGCTGAAATATACTTAATCACCCAAAACTGATAGAGCCAATTCCCTCAGTGCCATTAGAAATTTGGTAACTAATATGTGTGCCATTGCAAAAAAAAAAGTATCCCCTGTATGCCACTTTTGACATGTTTTGTTAGTCTTTTGATGGATAAAGGCACTGAACGAGCACTATAACTACTTGAAATGACCTTGTGGCACTTCTTCCAAGCTAGAGAAGAAAGAGGAAGAAGTGGTCGCCTAGAAGTCCCGTTGATTTTGGAGAAGAATGGATCGGGGAGATGAATGCTGAAGCCATGACGATACATCTGTTTTGGTGTCCTGGTGAAAGGATAAGGATTGGTGGGTCCCACTCGTCAGTCTAATTAAGGGCAAAAAGGTCATTTCAAGTAGTTTCAATGTTCTTTCAGTGCCTCTGTGCGTCAAAAGACTAACGAAACACATCAAAAGTGGCATACAGGGGATATTCTTTTCTGCAATGGCACACAAAGAAGTCACGAAATTTCTAATGGCACCGAGGGAATGGCTCTAATTGATAACAAACTCATAGCTTAAACATAGACATAATTATAAACTTCGTCACCCAAAACTAATTACTCCCTCTGTTTCAAATTATAAGTCGCTTTGACTTTTCTGGATACATAGCAAATTCGATGTACCAAAAAAACTCAAAGTGACTTATAATTTTGAACGAAGGGAGTACAATCTATAATTAACACAAACAAAAAAAACACCACTTGAAGACTTAATAACTAACTTGTATCATCTATATATGTATAGAGCTTCTCTATGTCACACAGAAACATAAATATAGAAGCATTACAAAGAAAATCATAAAAATAAAGAACAAGATCTAGTTTCTCTCTCCTCTACCATAGATCTTGATCTAGATCACCCAAAACTTGAAAAGGAGCACAAAAATGGATGTAAGAGCGCTTACCAACCTCCTATGGTGTCCTTCAAGGAATCCAATAGCAAAACGTCTCCCCTCAAAAATGGTGTTTTTCAGGAGTTCTAGAGCTCTAACCCATCAAAATTAATGGCGAGGCTCGTGGAGGAAGAAGATGGGTGTGGTTGGGGGCTGGTTTTATAGCGATAGATTAATGGAGGTGGGCATTCGAAGTGCTCATCTCGGTTAATTCATTAACGGAGGCAGACACTATAAGGCCTACCGCCTCCATTAATAGATTCATAGCGGACCACTTAAAGCGACCACATTCATTAATGGCCTATTAACGGAGGCGGACGCCTAAAGACCATGCCTCAATAAATCCATTAATGGTGGCTGTTAGCTTAAAGCGTCCGCCTTCGTTAATGGACTATTAACGGAGGCAGTTGCTTTCTGTCGGCCTCCTCCATTAACACTTAACGGAGGCTGCCACTTATCCTCGGGGCAGCCAACCATTAACGGAGGCCGTGCCCTATTGTGACCGCCTCCATTAACGGAGGCAGCCAACCATTAATGCCTAGGTAGTGGCTCGGGCTGTAGGGGCTGCAGAACTGGCCAGGCCGTCCCCCAGCCAAGACGGTCTCAAGAACCGGCCAAAGAACCGGCCTGGCTGGCTCCCTGACCCAGCCAAGCCGACTACCCTATGCAGTATAGGCCGATTTCCCAAACCGATCAGGTCAGTTTTGTTGCAGGGCTCTGTCGCTTCGCCGCGGTTTCATCTCCCTCGCTATGTTTTCTGCTTCCATATTTTTCCACAGTGTCCGGAAATCCATCTGTGGGTTCAGTTTGGAGATTTTGGGTCTTCAGAGCACTTAGGGTTTGCTTGGGACACAGGCCGGTTTCTCGACTGAGAAATTTGAATTGGCTTCCATTCAACACCGCAACAACCGCGCCCCCCCCCCCAGTGGCGGAGCCAGGATTTATAGTCAGGGGGGGCCGGCCATCAGGAATTATACTTAGGGGGGGCCGGCTCGGTCTTTTTCATTGCGATAATTTTATTATCTAGTTGTGTTTTGTATGATTATATTATCTAGAAGATATTAATAGATATATATGACAAGAATTTTATATAATCTTCCTCTTAATATAAATAAAAAATATTAAGTTATACTACTAATTTTTGTTGTTGTCAAACATTGGGGGCCATGGCCCCTGCCAGCCCCCCCCTGGCTCCGCCAGTGCCCCCAGGCCCGCTGATCGCCTGCTCGGTACTCAGATATCAGCATGTCATATACCCAGATTGCAACAGGTAGGACAAAGATGACAAACAATATTATAATGATTCAATACAGTTACATGCAGAACCAAATAGCGTTTACATTACATTTCCATTGTTTATTGATACCCTGCCACTGTCGGGTCTAAAGGATAGATCAAAGCAAACACTAAATTGACGATCGCAATCTCACACACAGACACGCACTGGAGGGCATGATCTATTTATAGGCACTTATTCATTCTCTGCACGGCGACTAGTGTTCTGGACATCCAGGATATATAGTGATAAAACTGATAATCCAATACACGACATACATGTTTGCGAAAAGAAAATGGAAAACTGATAACCTGATTTGGCGCAGCGACATGCCTACCACCTTTGGGCCCGGGTTCGATCATGGCCCCCGAAGTAGGAGGTGGTTGTTGTCAAGCGTTCCGGATCATTGCGCACGAGGTGGACTTTGTCGAGTGCATCGTCTGGGCTTCTGATTCCGATCTTCTCTAGCTGCCAATATCTCGGCCATCCTTGGTATACGTGATCCTTCCAGTCCAGCAGAGCTGTTGACATTTCCGGCCATTTCTCAACGTAACCCATGAGTTGCTCGGTGAGTCCCGTCCCGTTCTCCCAGCCACATACAATGGCGTCATGGACTGAATTGATCCTTGCGGACCCACAGATCATGACCATCAGGCCCACCAGTGCCAGCTTGAGGTTGCCATTGCCGCCACCTGCCACTACTTTTGAGTGCGTTTGGGAGGGCTCCTCCACACCCGCTCCGCTGCCGAAGCTGGAGTCCTCTAGGCGAAGCCACTTTCTGCCCCTCGTCGGTAGGGGAAAAGAGTTCTGGCTCTGTTTAGTTGGGTCAAAGCGTGAAAGCACACTCACAGAGTCCGCTGCGAAGGTCTTACCCAGGCTTTTGGAGTTGAGTACACCCATGATTTCCTTCTTGCTTCCAACGTCTAGGATGCTTTTGTATTTGTCGCCCAGTCCAAAACTGTTGACTCGTATTCTTCTGGGAGCACCTGTGTGTTAATATTGTACCAATCTCCGTTCTGGTTCATAAAGCCTATTATGTCCAAGGTGTCAACACGCATGACTAGTGTTGACCGCGCTGCCACACCTGACCTCGCGTGCAGTTTGATGTGAAGAAGCCATCTGGGTTGTTCGATGTCAAGCGCCCACCTGATTCTTGAGTCCCTTACAGCACTGCGGAGCACTGGGTGATTATGTATGGAGGAGCGCATGCAGTGGATCTGGGTGGTCCTCCAAGACATCCTTGCGGCGTGGGTGGTTGACGACAAGCCTTCGCAGCTCCGTGATGAATGTACCGAACCCTTCTCCACTATCCCCAACGATGTACGATATGTCAGGTTGTCGCCGCGATGGATTGATTTCGATCTGCAGTATATATATATATATATATATTTATATATATATATATATATATATATATATAGTGATGAACCAATAGACGACATAAAATAACAGGAATGCTATACAACACACATGGGTGTTTCTTGCATGTTTGGCACATGGATTTTTTTGTCCGTCCGATCTGTATCGCGCGGTGCTGGTCGGTGGAGGTCGCGCCCTGGACGTCGCGCCCTGTGTTCTCTGACCTGTGGACCCTGGCGCTACAGTTTGATTTTTTGGGAGTCACGCCCGATTCAGTGGAGTCCGTCCCCCACCTCCCCCCCACCCCCACCCCATTTCCATTCTGGACTCTTCGGCTTCTTCCAGGCAACTCCAGGCGACACGGCCGGCGATTTCTGCTCTCTAGCTTTCCCTCCCTCCCTTCCAGTGACCCAGTCCTAGATCTGTCGCTCCTCTGTCTCCTCCGGCTTCCTGGCAGCCTCCCACCACGCGTGGAGCACCGGTATTTGGATGCGAGCGGACGGTGGGATGCGCCGACTGCCGACTGCAGGGGATCTGAATCTGGCGCTGCTGGCCTCACGCCCTTCGATGCGCTCCTAGAGGAGGGAGGGGGAGCAGCGGGAGGGGTTGGGCTGCTACTGCGGTGAGCCGACCCCGCCGCCGCCACAGTTCCTGCAGGCATCGCCGGTGGATGCGGACGAGACTATGGAGGATAAGGATTGCTGCATCTTCAGCCAGTGTTTCTTCTGGTACGTTCCGGACCGACCTCTGTGTTTGTTTGCTTAGTGACACTGTCTGGTCTCAGATTAACCTCTATTTTTAGCACCCCAGACTATATCACGCCGGAGACGGCGCAGGTGGCCAACGAGTTCGACGAGGATGAGGTGGAGAGCTTGAGGTTTTTTCCCCTTTTTGAGTGTGGGTATTTGTCATTCCAGTGATAGTGTGATGAGTCGAGTTCAGCTCCATTTCACCTAAATGTTTGCCTGGTTTTGTTTTTGTGCAGGAGAACACCCCTTGCCCAAAATCTCCGGAGAAGTCAGCGAACCATCGAAGCAAGGTGTACAGAACGGTATGTGAGACTTCCACCCATCGAACTGATTACCAATTAATTGGAATGTTGAAACTGTTTCAGCCACAGTATCCAATGATCTAACTGTAATCAGTAACTATTTTAAACTCAATCAACTCATTGATCGACTGTTGCATATTGTTGTCCCAAAGGTCTGGATGGAATCCATGTTTGTTCTGTTAGTCCTTGTTAATTAGGGTTTGGATCATGAGTGATTGTAGTAGATGGATCATGAGTGATTGTAGTAGTTAGTCTTTTTGAATGATGGATAAGTTTTTGGGTTTTTGTAGCTGATGAACTCTGTTCGATATTGTGGCATACTTCGAACATTTTCCATCTTCTATGTATTTGTATTTTAGTTAATTTTTGTTAGTGGAGGTTTGCTCAGGTGTGCCATTGTTATCATGGTCTTGCTTAACTGTAAATCTCAATTGATTTTTAGTTATTTTTTGGTTAAGATGCAGTAGGCAATTTACTTTATGCCAAATTGAGCTTGGTTCTTACAGTTTCAATGTCTCTGATGATGTTTTTTTTGTGATCTATTTAATTTAATTGGTTTAACAATAACTATATTTTTCCTTATATACGAGTTATAGTCAGTGTCAATATTGTTTTGTCTTCTCTGTTTATCTGTATTAGCTCGTAGCTATCATGCTCAGTTGTGATTGCTCGTAGTTTACAGTAGAGTTCAACTGTACTTACAGTTGTTGATTTAGTTTAATTCATAGTTATCTTTGATGCAAAGTTGTAGTTGTATCTGTTGTAGCTGCATCTTTTGTAATTTTGTTTATGCAATATGGTGGTGTTGAACCATTTTCCTCCTCGATTTGTCTTTTTTCTACTAGTTGATCTAAATGGCTGCTGCTAAGACTGGATAAATACATAAACATCAACAAAGGACATTTGTATGCACCTTCTGTAAAATTGAAATTTGAATATATGGACTGCCTCTTTCAATGATCCTTTTTTGTGATAAAAAAATATTACATAACTTAATTTAAGCTTCCTACAGCTTGGTCCTTACATAATTTAATTGTCCATCTTAAAAATTGTGCATCTGTCAGTTCTTGAAGTCCTTATGCACCTGCATAGGGACATATTGCCTCAGTTGGTCTCATGGGATGTTAGATAGTATTAATCAGGTTCTGTAGCTAGCTCTGTCTCTCTCCGCCTCTCTGAAATTGCCACTTCTTTATGCAGAGAGGTTGCAAAAGGTCTACTGAAGTACCAACCAGATGTAATTATCAGTGTACACCCTTTAATGCAACATGTGCCCCTCCGAATTCTAAGATCCAAAGGTCTCTTGGATAAGATCCCATTCACAACTGTTATCACGGATCTCAGCACCTGTCACCCAACATGGTATGCTGGTCTCAGTGTTCTGCATAACTCAAATGCTTCTTTGTAGTTTCCTATCAAAATGTGAGACATACACTCTTACAATGAAATAGTTATCCTACTGTTGCCCCTTAGGTTCCATAAGCTTGTCACTAGATGTTACTGTCCATCAATTGAGGTGGAAAAGAGAGCACTAAAAGCTGGTCTGAAGCCCTCACAGATTAAAGTCTATGGCCTCCCTGTTCGACCCTCTTTTGTCAAACCTATTCGACCGAAGGTACAAAATTTCTTCAGCTAATTGTAGTGTAGCATTGTCCTACTGATTTTTATGAATCTTTTCCGTCTTCCAGAACTTACTGATTGTAGTATTTATTGTTAACCTTTTTAATAGGATGAACAGCGAAGAGAGTTAGGCATGGATGAAGATCTGCCTGCTGTTTTATTAATGGGTGGGGGTGAAGGGATGGGTCCTATTGAGGCCATTGCTAAAGCACTTGGTGATTCTCTGTATGATGAAAACCTAGGGGAACCCACTGGTCAAATACTTGTAATTTGTGTGCGTAATAAGAAGCTGGCCAATCGATTGCAGTCGATAAATTGGAAAGTTCCAGTTCAGGTACTTCCCTGGAAGCTGATTTGTAATATCCAATAAGTTTAACATTACAACTGCCTTACCAGTTCCTTGATGTTGCTTTTTCCTCAGCAAAAGAATTTTTCTTCAACCCTTTCAACTGCATAGATAGCTTAAATGAACTTAAGCCAAGGTACATTGTTTCTTGGCTAGTAGCAGTTGTGTATTTTTGAACTTCGAATACATGAGACTAAATACTGCAGCAATAACATCGTATGGATATCTTAAAAAAGAAGTCTCTAACTAAAAGCGGCTCTTATATTTCACACCTCTTGCACATACAGATTTCTTCATAAATCCTTGTTTTAAAAAAAATAATAGGTGAAAGGCTTTGTTACAAAGATGGAAGAATGTATGGGTGCTTGTGATTGTATCATTACAAAGGTATGCTTTATATTAGCCTCTCATGTTCAAATCATGCAGCTTGTTTTCGAATATGTGATACATGTACATAATTTGTGGTGATGTTGTGATACATGATTTCTGTTGAACTTGAGCAGGACTGGTACAATTGCAGAGGCGATGATCCGTGGCTTACCAATTATTCTAAATGGTTTTATTCTTTGGATGGTGTTTTTCTTTAGCAACTCATTGTAGAGACTGTTTTATTCCATTATTAGTTCTCATGGTGCTGCATCTTGCTCTCCTCAAATATGATCTGTCGAAGAACATTGAAATTACCCTGGATTATTGACTCATTGACCATTTCTTTGTTAAATATCTAGGGAGACTTGATCGGTAAAAGCCACACAAATAGAAGATTGTTGTCTTGTCATAGATTTATATACTATATACCATGAGCTCAAGCTTAGCTCTAAATCATGGCTAGGTTTGTTTAGATGTTTACGTATCCAAAATTTACTTGTCTATGTAAGATTATCATCTATGTAAGCCACACATTGTATCTGTTGTAGCTCCTTGATATAGCACTTGGTATACCCTTTGAACTATGTGATCCTAATTTTCTACTACATAGTTGTTGAAGTGCTCTGCAAACAAATTAAACATTTAGTTACATAATTGCAATCAACAATAATATAAATTGCAAGTATCAGACAGAACTATGTGATTTGTGTTAATTACGGATTTTAGGAAGGGATGATCCGTTTGGATTCTGGTGTATAGAATGACGGTGGATCCGTCCATTTTGCTGAATGTCTCCCGATCTGTTCCATTTTGTTGTGTTGAGAAGCTCGGTTATTCTAGCAAAGTGACGAGGATGGAGGATGGCATCCGAAAGGTCTTGGGAGGCAAATCTGGATCTGTCACTCGCTCATCACTGGCTCAAAGAGTGATATCAGGAACCCTGCCTGGATTTGCAGCTTCCAGCAGGGTGAGATGCATATTATATTAGGGCGATATGCCATGTTTCAGATTGTACTTTACCGGCCTTTGTAGCTTGTCATTTTAAACACTAGAAAAAAGAACAAATAGAGAAATGCTAATGTATATGAAGATACTCCATAAAGTCATCTTGTTAGATTAGCCCCTTGATCTGTGTTCCTCGTCTGTTGCTTGATTTATTCGATCCCCTTTTTCCTGATGTTGTGTCAATTTGCTCGATTGGTTGTGTTTTTGTTCTATTACTGTTGTCTCGCTGTAGCCCTCTTCCAGCCGCAAGTCCACCAGCTGCAAGTAGTGAAGTGAATTGCGTTATCCAGAAGCAACAGGTGAATCCCAATCTACGGCTGGGCTGGCTGGCAGCAATTACTAATGCCATCGGCCAAGACTACTGCATTCAATGAAGTTTTTAAAGTTCTCTATATGTATTTGCTAGTGGTGTCACTGGAGTCAAGTTTCTTTGGGTGAGGATCATACAATTCCAAAGATCGTAAAACTGGACTTCCAGGTGTTTTGTTCTTTCTAGTCTGAACCTGTATTCCATTAGCTTGTGCTAACTGAATCTAGAGAACCAATGATCGGGGTAGGGGTCTGTAGAGCTAGTTTGGTTGCTTTGTCTGATAGCATTTGTTTGTTTCTTCATTTTTTTCTATTGCCCTGTAGGTGAGACAGCAGGCCTTTTTCACTTTGCGTCTGGGGCAACGCTCCTTCCCTCCGATATTTTTCTAGACGCAGTGGTATTGGCAATGACCTTTTTGGTGGTATTGTCTCTGTGATGATAGTGAGTTGACTGAGTTCTGAATTCTGGTGTCAGCATGTAAAAGGTAACGGTAGCAAGAAATGTGCATACAGCTGCAGGTCATCTATAGCCCTGCGTGACAGGTAGCTGATGTAGCTCTGTGGAAGATGTACACTTGTAGTTGGTGTTGCATAACATATACTGTACAAGAAAGTTGTGTTTAGTTTAGTTATAACAGAAAAAAGGAAATAAAGCTGTGTTCAAATAGAAAATATTTTCCTGTAAATTTCATTCTGAAAATCTTCCCTGTGAATGCAGTTTTGCCCAACATTCTAGGATCTATAAATCTGGTAATCATTTTTGGCATTATGTAACTCATTGATTATCTGAAATAGAATAATCTGAGTTGCATGATTTGTCTCCTTGCTTTTGAAATGATTGTTGCTATGATTAAAAGTATTTATATTTTTCCATTTTTTCTATTTGTTTTCAGTCCAATGACAACCTAAACTTAGGTGGTGTGAAGAATGTCCAAACTGTTTCTTGTCCTGATTTGCATGTTTCAGTCCCCAAAGCTGTTCCCTATAAATCAAAAGGCTATCCTTTGTCTGAAACTACAGCTCCTGATTTGCATCTTAGTGGTTAGTATCCATTTCTTGATTGCACATTTATAAGTAGTAAATTGCACACTTGAATTACTGCAATTATGGTGTTTTTCATGTGCAATTATGTTGAGAAAGCATGTATTTGTGTCAACACAGATCAAATGTTTGTCCTTGTTTGACTATGGAAAACAAATGTCTGTAGAGTTGTGCATTCTAGCCTACTTCAATTGTATTTTCAAATGAATCATCTGTATTAAATTCTCATTTTAATCTTCTCTTATTTAAATCTACCACTACCAATAAACTCTAATGTCCTATTGTCCTTCCTAGCTGTACCTGATAAATCATTAAACCTATCAGTCTGCCACAGTGGAGTTGTTTAGAATGTTTACCTACAAGTATAATGTTAGTTATTCTATTTTTTTCTGTACATTTGTCATGTCAATGTCTAATGCAGATGTGTTTCCTATATAGCTTTCTACCTGTAAAATGGCTATTTGTTAGGGCCCTTAGTAAACTCAAAAGTTTTGTGAATATCAATGCCCTCATATAACATATTTGATTTCTAGATACTGGTTCTAAGGGAAGGTCTATGCGCCGTGAAGTTGCTGTTATTCAACCGAAGACCATAGGAGCAAGCATTGATAAATCATCTGTTAGGATGGATCAAATGTCAAAGAAAGGGAGTCAAAGCAATACCAGTGTCAAAGGAATCCTTCCAGGGAATTTTTTGACTATGGAGAAGAAGATGGAGCTCCAACTCCAGTTCCAAAAGATCTTAGTACATCTCAAAATGTTGCCAGTTCCATTCACACAAAGGTGAAAGGTGTCCCTGATGGCTTCTTTGATCACAACAAAACTGGGAGTGGTATGCAACCCAATGAACCGAGTTCAGAAACTGCTCAAGCAAAAGGATCGTTGCCTAAAGGTTTGTTTGATAACAAAGATGCAGATCTCCGTGCACGTGGTATCCAACCTCAAAAAGTTGACATGAAGTAAGTTTTAGTGGCCATCTTTTGCCAGGATTATGTTCATCATTCATGCATAACCATTTTTACCAGACCTACCCATTTGTCATGCATTGTCCTGTTCATTTGGCAATTTTACATTCTGTTGTCATGACTCGTGTATTATGATCATGTCTCTTCGCAGCAGCTGGTTAGTATAGTTTAACAACATAAATCAGTTTGATTTCTAAACTGGTCATTTTATTGTCATTTCCACGCCCATTTTGTGTTTGTGCATCTGTCAAGTTCAAAATCTGCAGTAATCTACAATTAGTAAAATGTTATCTATTATCTGTACACTGACACTATCATGTCAATTCATTAAAATCTTGTGCAGTGATGCGTACAAAGAATTCGAGAAGGAAATTCAGGAGGATTTGCGGGAAGTTGATGACCGCCTTGAAGAAGAGGAGGTTAGGTTAATTTATATTGTACATTATATGCTAACAGTGAAAAAGATATATACCTACCCATTGCCAATGTTAGTTCCAGACTACTGATACGGGCAAGCTTTTCCTTTTTGCTGTAGATTGATGCTGCTGCTGAGAGGGAGGAGTACTTGACTCTAGAGCAACAGTAAGATACTTCTCCACTTTCTGTTAGACTTTGAAAAACATATGTACCAGAGTGAAGGTTTTTACCAGAGTGTAATTGTTAATTGTCTTTGTGTTAATGCATATTTTGTTGCTAGACGCACTAGTATATTGAGCTTCTAGCCTTCTAGGTCCTTTTGAGTTTCCAGTGAAGTTGTTAATTTGTTTGTTGGATGCCCTTTGACTCCTTGCAAATGCACTAAACTGGGATCTACATCTATGTTTGTACACTTAATCTGCTCAGACAATTTGTGAAATGAATTCCTGCCTTTCCATTTGAAGTGACAAATGATATTTTGTTGATTTTAACTCATTTGTTGTGTTTAATGTTGATCTATCCATGGCTAAAGCTGAAGATGATGGTGTTGAGGTTGTAATTACTATTATAAGCATCCTTCGCATGCAACCTTGCAATGTCAGTCTTTTTTATCAATCTTTTTCCTATCAAAAAACATTGTCAATTAATTGCAATCAGCAATAATATAAATTGCAACTACCGAGCACCACAATTGTAGTTTTGAGCATTTGCAATATGTGAAAATTTTAGTTACCTCATGACTGTCATTGGCATTTATGTTGTTTCAAGCAAATTTGTGATAACTTTCAATGTTCATTTCCAAATCCCTTGAAATACCAACCTGCAAATCAAAAGAGAAATACCAACTTAGTAGTTCATATATAATTCAATGCCAAAAGGTTTTCCATAGAGTGTGAGTATGGGCCTAAGACCTGTCTGGATGCATAGTCGATGGACCTAACTTTCCTGACATACCTATTAAGAATCTATGTTAACCATTTTGTCTGAAACATCTCATTGAGCTCATAGTTTGTCCCTTTGCGACTTGCGACTTGAGGGTAATTATTACATTGGGATGCAACCCTAGTGTGATGAAGGATCAGCTAGATATTTTGTTAACCATTTTTCTATATCTATAAATTAAAGTTGTGTCATCGTATTGTTATTGTTTATACTCGAACCTAATCTATCTGTCTAAAGAAGAAAATGTTCCACTTCATCGGCTCATGACACTGACCGAAAAAGAGTAGTTTTTGTTATTTAGAAATTATTAACAGAGAATTTTCTGTTCATGAAAACAAAACATATAAAACATATAGTTAATTAATTGCAATCAACGATGATGCAAATTGTAGGTATTGAGCACCGTAATTTTAGTTCTGAGGATATGCAATATGTCCCAACACGTACCACATTTTTGTCCTTGTCTTCCTGTAGAAAAAATTATAATATGTTAATTGTGATTTGTGCCAACACATTTCAGTTATTTGTCTTTGTCCTTCTATAGTTAAAAATTATAGTATGTTAACTGTGATTTGTGCCAACACAGACCACATTTTTGTCCTTGTCTTTCTATAGAAAAAATTGTAATATGTTCACCATGATTTGTGCTAGCACATACCATATTTTTGTCCTTGTCCTTTCATAGAAAAAAATTGTTTTTTGTGATTTGTGCCGACAAATTTGTGTTTGTGTTTCTATAGAAAAGTTGTAGTCTGTTCATTGTGATCTGTGCAAGCCCACACCAAATTTTTGTCCTTGTCCTTTCATAAAAAAATTGTTTCTTGTGATTTATGCTAACACAGACCACATTTTTGTCCTTGTCTTTCTATAGAAAAAAATTGTTTATATTTAAATATGAGCTGAACTATAGAAGTACATACGCTGCTACTAGTCCCCACTTGTTCCTAGGCACCTGTGTCCCTGCACCACACCACAGTCCGCAGCACTAGTTGGGCTTTTGTACTAGGGAGGAAGCTGCTGAGCAGAAGCCACCAGAACTGAGCAAACAGGATAGAGGAGGAAGATAAGATAGAGAGAAAGAGAGCAAGGAGTGTTGTTTCTTTTTTCTTCTTTTCTTGGCCTTTGTGTTGCTGTGGGCTGTGGCTGAAGGCCCTGAACCCTGCAGGTGTGGCCCTTTTCTTTCTTGTGAGGAAATGGTAGGCGGTAACTGAGATTGTGTCAGCGGGGGCAGGATTGAGGAATTTATGGTTGATTAGATAATTGGGGCCCCTGGGACTACGTGTGTATGTGTGACAGAGAGTGACAAGGGAGAGGAGAGGTCGTGCCTGCTTTATATTTGATGCCGAACTGAAGCTTATAATTGGGGCCCCTGGGACTGCGTGTGTATGTCCTGTTTTGTAGCTTTAGTCCATGAGAAATGTGATACCCATATCATAAGTGAAGAAAACCTGCAAAATGAGTTTTAAGCTGAATGAATTATCTGAAACTGAAAAGGTTCAGGATCAACAACACAGGACATGCTTTCTCTTTATCTGCTTGATTGGCAGAATTGACTTATATATGAACCTAAATGTTGCCAAGGAACTTAAGTGCGGATTCATGGCATCTGAGTTTTACTTTCTAATTGGAATTTTATAAATTTCCTATGATGCAAATTAATATTTAACTGTTTTTTCTCAGGAAAAAGATGCAGCTCTAGGAAATGGTGGCTTGGGTAGGCTTGCATCTTGCTTTTTGGATTCAATGGCAACATTGAATTTGCCTGCTTGGGGCTATGGCCTGCGTTACCGATATGGACTGTTCAAACAACACATTGCCAAGGCGGGCCAGGAAGAAATTGCAGAAGATTGGCTTGATGTATGAACCAAAAATGCACATATAATTCTGTTGATATTTTTTTCTAGACCTCTATAACAAGTTCTCCTTTTTTCCTTCAGAAATTCAGCCCCTGGGAGATTCCCAGGCATGATGTGGTGTTCCCTGTCAGATTTTTCGGCCATGTTGAGATTTTGCCTGATGGCTCATGAGTATAATATGAACAACACATTTTTTGTTTGACAAAATTTATTTTTGCTGCATTTAGTTAAATTTGAAGTTCTTAAGGCTTCTCATACTTTCTAGTCTAGATAAAAAAGAGAATCACATTCCTTCGTTAGCTTGGTTGAACCATTCTAAACTCCTAGTTCTAAGAAATATTCATTTATCTCTTTTTTACCGTCCAGCTTCCAGAACTAAAAAACTGCAACTATGAGGTGTAATGTGGATGCCTTTTTTTTTGTAATCCAAAAGCTTCGCTAATATGAATTTTAAATGTCTGAACCACAAACTAAGTTTGGGTTTGGCGGATTTGCTTATACTTCAATGATAAATCCATTACATTTAACTTACCTAGATCTTCGTAGATCCTTCTCCCTGACTTTTTTTTCTTTTGTTATTTATTTCATGTTATGGGTGGTTATTTGAGGGCCTTGATGTAACTCATCATATGATTGCTTTCTTTGTCGTGTGATAGTCGGAAATGGGTCGGTGGAGAAGTCCTGAAGGCTTTAGCATATGATGTGCCAATCCCTGGATACAAGATAAAAAATGCAATCAGCCTTCGTCTTTGGGAAGCAAAAGCTACTGCTGAAGATTTCAACTTATTTCAATTCAATGATGGTCAATATGAGTCAGCTGCCCAACTTCATGCTAGAGCCCAACAGGTGGTATTTCATTCTAGAGTGAAACTATCGGCTATTCATAAGATTCATTTCCAAAGACTAATTAAATAAAGAGCGATGCCTTTACTTACTGGAATATTTTTATTGACTGATGATATTGCATGCTGAAACCTGTAACTTATTCCTTCATGGTACTAGTTCTATCTAGAAAAGAGACTTATGTCTTTGAGTATCACATTGCAGATATGTGCCGTTCTTTTCCCGGTGATGCTACAGAAGAAGGAAAGCTTCTAAGGCTGAAGCAGCAGTTTTTCCTTTGCAGTGCATCACTTCAGGTAGTTAATCAATTCATTTCACTTGAGCAAGGTTCCAATAAAAGGGCCAGGCATGTATGCCCACCTTGTGCTTTTCTATATGTTTGGCAATGATCTATGAGATAATTGCAAACACAATGTTGTAATTTTCTTGTATTGTTTGAACCATCAATATATCAGGATCAATCATGTTACCTCTAGTATATGCACCACCACCTGAACTGTTTTCAAATTGTACTAGGATAATGAGATTTAGATCATTTATCCTGTTTTCTTTTAGTTGCAGTGTGCCTTTTATGGTTCTAGTTTGTTAAAGATTTATCAATATCTTAAAAAATATCTCTGTGACGATTATTGATGAGCATAACTGAAAATGGGTTATTTCCAGGATATGATTGCCAGATTTAAAGAAAGGAAATCTATGTAGTATTTGCACCTAGTGATTTATTGAGGTGGATTATGTATTTATATACATATACAGTATAATTGCAATAACAATATGTAGTATTTGCACTATTTGAAATGTGCAATTTTTGTATTCTTGTTTTGTAATATTTGAAGATGATATTCATTGTGCATTTTTTCATCGAGAACTACTCTTTGCTGATATTGGGCCTCTCTGTCTTCTTAGTTAGTGGGCCTCTCTGGCACGTCTTTATTGAGCTGAACGATAGTTGTGGGCCTTGTTTGCCTGATGGAATTTGTGTGTTGCATTCTCTTAAAACACACGTTTTTTCCAGTGTTTCAATTCGTGTGTTTTTTAGGCATCTAACAACCATGTGCTAACTAGTCTAAAAACACATGGTTTTTTCTATGTTGAAATCTGTGTGTTTTACATATAGCCAATAACTATGTGTTGGCTTATGTTAAAACACACATGTGTACAGTAGACAGACTCTAAAATAAACATCATTACGTAAAGCAAAACAGAAGGAAAAGAGATAATAAATGTCCTCATCGTTTGCTGTAGCAATTAACAAGTGCTTGGCAATTAATACTACTACAGAATGGACTTGTTGTCCCGGGTGGTAACGGCCTTTAGTCCCGGTTACCGCGCCGGGACAACGATCCCGGGACTAAAGGTGCCACCTTTAGTCCCGGGTCATCGAGCCGGGACTAAAGAGGGACCTTTAGTCCGGGTTCCCTTTAGTCCCGGTTGGTAACCCTAACCAGGACTAAAGGTTTCTTTTTTTTTCTTTTTTTTTGTTTAATTTGTTTTCAGTTTAGTTACACGTATTTGTTTAATATATAATATGTTTTTATGTACGTATTCTACGCTGCTAATATAAATACACGCACGCCTATAATTACATCTAATTCTCATCTCGAGCATTATTATATTCAAATAAAGTATGAACCTATATATATTATAGATATATATATGTATATATACAACACTTTCATAATCTTGTTCTCGAAAATAACGATATCAATAAACATTTAATTTACATCATTTATTCCTTAGGATCAAAGTAGAACTCGCCGTTGGGATTTAGCACTTTTTCTAGAAGAAATCCTGTTATTGACTCTTGAACTGCTTTCAGATGGTCTTTTTGCATGACCCTTCGTTTCAACCATTCAGTCTTGCATTTGAAATAAAAGGAAAAGTATTAATACATATATATATATATATTCATTTAAAAATAAATAAAAATTGATATATCGTACTCGAGGACATCTTCAGGAGTTCTTCTTATGTGCTTGTGATGATAAATTCACAAACGTAGTATCCACACAAGTTATTACACTGGTTCTTGCCAAAAACACCACTATCTGAGAAGAAGATTATTCTCATCATCTCACACGTAAATTGAAGTACGATATAGTAATTAAACACATGGGGAAGTGTATATAGTACAACTATCTTGGTATTTCAACTACATTAAGTGGTGCCTTGCAATCCTTGCGATGTTGCCAAATAAACTCTTTCCAAACCACAATGCGACCAATAATGTACGATCGTTAATAAATTATGGCAAAGTCTATTCAATAATAGTTGTGCGCGAGAGATCGAAATTACCCCTAGATAATGTCTATCATATCTTGGTATAGTGCCCGCTCTTTTCTCAACGAGTCAAAGATTACTAACCGACTTGAGTTTAACTCAATGACAATGAGTATCCGAGTGAAAACACGCATTGGTTTATATACACACGTATATGCATATAAGTTGTATTGATATTACATAAAATGTGTAGACTACATTATTATTAACACTTACTCAAAGTTGTACGGGAAAAGTATTGTTGTCTTGTCGTGCTGCTTCACGAAGAACATCATGATATGCTTCAGATACCCACCGCTCCTTAACGATAATACCGGTTTTGAATACGATATAAGGATCAATGAAGCCAACACTGGTGTCTTGTATTCTTTGGAGCTCTGACATCTGGAATCTGTATATAAATATAAGTTACATGTGAGGATAATTATATACACGCACGCATGGAAGTGAGTTTATTAAATAAAAGTAAGAATCACTTACAAACAAAAGGAGCTAATGATTGATTTGTTCAGAGCGTCCATGTGGTATAGTTGATGCAATTCTTCGAAACTAATATGTAAGATGTCATCGCCACGGAAGTAATGATGGTCTCTAAATCTGACAAAGATCCACTACTCACCCTTGCCACACGCACTTTGCATGTACCACTTGTTGAGCAAGTACATTTTGCGTACCCAATTCATTTCAGAGCCCAGAGGTTATGCTGGACTTTTGCCATATTTATAAGTCTTCCGGTATCAACTTCCGAGTTACGGATTGGTGCTTTGCCCGTCAATTGATCCAAGGTTAAACCGGTATCTTCAAAAAAAAAGCATTAAGGGCTTGAACCGACACTTCTCTCGAGTTATGCAGTCGATAAACTTCTATGTTGGAACCATATTCATTAGCAACAACAAGATTTTGCATTGGTTATACATTGTCCGAGTATGTGGGACATCCTTCCACGATGCTCTTTTCCTTTTCTTATCGCATCATGTGACTTCACGAGGGAGCGGTCATAGATGCGATAGTGGCGAAGGCTACGAAGTTCAATCATCTTTTCTTGTGAGCATTGACCTTCCGCCTTTCAGCACATCTCGTGGTATGTAAAAGTACGGCTTCTCCTTAAGCTTCGCTTCACTCTTGTTTTTGATATCTATAAAAAATCTTTCACTTTTTTGTCTTCTTCAATTTGCTATTTGCTCATCGGTCTTTTCAGGAAGTATTTCTTGAGAAATAACTCTTTTTCTCGGGGGTCTTCTTTGCCGCCGGGACCTTAGGACGTCTTTGTAGTGCGTCATTTGTGGGCGAGGGGGGGGCGGTGTTGGAGACCAAGCGTGGAGGCGATGAGGCGGTGTTGATGGAGACCAGGCGTGGAGGCGTTGGAGATCGTTGTGGAGGCGGTGGGGCGGTGTAGGAGTTGGAGATCGTTGTGGAGGCGATGGGGCGGTGTAGGAGTTAGCGATCGCCGTGGGGATGAAGTCGTCTCACCCCCCGCGACGCTGTGATGAGATGGGGAATGAATGATTGGGCTAGGCTAGGGGGAGACCCTGCTACAAAAACAAGTTGTGTGTCAATTATTTTTGAAGCCAATAGAAAATTAATGGAAAATAATATTTCATTCGCTTTCATTCGTACCTAGGGTGAGGTAGGGGAAGCGGTGGCGCCCCAGGAATGATGATGAAGCGTTTGCGCCATTGAATAAATGTCTTCTCTGCTTCTCCTAGTGTCTTCTCCCCATCACCGCCTTCAATGTCAAGAGGAACATTGCTGTAACCTTTGAGCACTCTATCGACCGAGACGCTAGCATATCCGGGTTGAATAAGCGACCCATGGATTCTTGGTGTCTTCGTTCGGTCTATTGGAGATACAACCCGGCACCACCATGATTGATGCATTATTACCATCTGGAATGTGCAGCTCACATGTTGTTAGAGGCTCGGTAATGTCATCAACAGGGAAGCGCAACCCAGCGTCATCTTGAATAACTGGCAGCTCCGTGGAAGCACAACTGCTTTTCATCTTACCAACGGGGCTAATGGTGAAACGGCCCTCTAATGGCTTTTTTGGCCCTCGGACTTTCCTACTTTTGTCGGTGGTTGATGTAGATCCAGAGACCGGCTACATGAGTAGAAACACAACGATTAACAACAAATATACGTACGCATGCATCTATAAGAGATGATAGATAATCGAATATACCTCGCGGTATTTTCTTGCGCGACAATTTGTTGATCTTCAACCTGACATATTCGGGATATCCTCATAATCAGCAAAGAAATCTTGACTCGTGTCATCTACATCCACATTGGTGCGGCGTTGATAATATCCGCCATTATGTCATCACTCAAGTTATCATCCAAGACGACCATTTGTATCTTCAAGATAACACATAGATAGAATTACTATGGTACATAACATAAGTACATGTGATAACACATATAGAATTACTAAATCCAATTAAATATAATAACACATAATATTTCATAAGGATAAACAATAATAAGGTATAGGCTTTGGAATCGAATCAAAAACACTTTCGATCCAAAAACATGGAAATAAGTACATGTATATATATACACATAGAATGATACAATATATTTTCTCTCTCTCTCAACACATAGAAATAAGTGCATATGTCTATATCTCTAGATATGCATGTGATAACACATAGAATGTCTCTCTAGATACAATTTTCTCTCTCTCTCAATACATGAAAATAAGTACATGTATATATACATATAGAAATAATTAAGTACATATGTATACATATAGAATCTCTCTCTAAATATATATAGAGAGAATATATAATTACTAAATCCAATTAAATAAATCTAACATGAAATTAGATAAACTAGTAATAGATAATACATTTTCATCTAACATATATCAAAAACTATAATAAAAAACTATCTAAAAAACTATCTAAATAAAATACTAATTAAATTTTAATACATTTAAATCTAACATATATCAAAAACTATCTAAAAAATAAC